ACACCACCGGCAGATAAATAATAATATAATGCTATGTATTATATACCTATATAGAGATATACCTACACGCCCGATGATTCCGGAATCCGTCCGGTCGGATTTTCGATCATCTGCGAATACACACTCACACACAAACACACTACGCATAAACTTTCCGTAAACACATTATAATATATACATGTACAATATATATGCACTCGTATACCCACCTCCACTACCATCTCAGTGCGCGTATGTCTATGTCGATTAATTTAATATTAAATCCTCTCCGACTCTCTCGCCGCTGTCTGTCTCTCTCTTTCTTTCTATCTCGCTCGCTCTCGTGCGCACCCACCCTCGCTGTATGCCACACTCGACCGGCCACCGACGAATCTGAGATTTCGTTTCAATTAACATGGTCCCGGGTCCGGAACGTTGGAGTTTAATATTATAATCGTAAGGAGTTTTGCGCGTTGCACACACAGGATACGTGTGTATTAATAATCATAACTCAAAACGGCAAAGCCCCCAAAGGGTTTTGGCAACACACGCCGTATATAGTACCTACCGACGATGGGCTGAGGGACGGCGGGTGGCGACTGAGAAGTGGGTAGAAGACGATGCCGCGGCGTTTCGCTCCAGAAATCTTATACTTATTACTTATTCGACCCTTCTGCGTAACGGGCAAAAGTTTAAAATCTTCTACCGCCGTCCGTCCACCCACCCTCCAGACCACCTAACATGCATCACCATCGCCGCCGCCGCCGCCACACCAGACGAAACTACCCTCTAGCCCTGAGGCCGTTTCTCGGGTTATTATTGTTTCACCACGCCGCCGAATCGGATTTCGATGATGTGATGTTGCTGTTCCTGCTGCTGCTGCTGTTGATCCTATATCACAACCCCTTCAACAAATTAGCATGACGGCCGCCGCCGTCGGTGTGCGCGGGACCTCCGCCTCATCTCGTTAGACTCCAACGACACTCTTTTCGACGTATTTTTCTCGCTTGTTTATTAAACACAAACAAAAGACACGCTGCAGCGCGACGGTGTCGAGAGGATTAGTCAAATTGAAGAATATAATATATATAATTACGGGGTGCAAATAACATATATATATATATTATTATTATTGTCACGTAATGGGGATGTCGCACGATAGGAATAGAAAAACCGTTCTACGACGATAAATAAATAATAATAATAATAAAAGAATCGTGAAATAGTAATAATATGGAAAATTAAAAATACTCGTATATATATATATACGTCCATATTACTTGTACACGGATACTGATGAAAGAAAAAGTAAAACTAATATACGAATGGGGAATGAGTGAATGAGAAGAAAAAAACGTTAAGGAAAAACGGAAAAAAAAAAGAGGAATTATCATAATTATTATCGAATAGCCATAACGTCGGGATTAAATGAGCTGCAGAGATGAAGAAAAAAAATCCCCATCATCGGAGCCGGCAGAATGATAAGGGGAGTCGTGTATTTAAATTTTAATCAAAACATCCGATTGAATCAATATATATAGCCGGCGGCGGAAATGAAAGGGAACTACATCCTAAAGACAAACAGGACTTTTAATATGCGGGCTCCCGCTATCCGCGTCGGCGGCTGTCCGGACATTCTTCTCGTCGTGCAGTATTATTATTATTATTATTATTATTATTACTGCTGCAGCTACTACTACAACTACTACTATAATATATACACAAAGAACGGATTAGAATATATGCGATTCCGGCGCGCGGACTAATGAAAATTCACCCTCCACACGCGCCGGGAAAGAAGTCAAAGAACGTTACGGGAATTAATTTTGCCGATCTCTTTTTTTCAGCTTCTCTTTTTATACACGGTCTTTATTTTTGATTTTATTTGTTATTTATCCTGCACAGTACACGTCCAAATTTCTGACGTCCCGCAGATAAGAAACACACCGCGGAATTCGTCAAACCGACGACGCCGCCGCCACTTATTATCGGTGTATTTCATTACTTATTACCATAATAATGATAATATACATTTTTACATACCGCGACGGGCAGCTGATAATAATTAATTATCGGTGGATGGAGTATATAATACGTATATAATACGTGTCCTCGGGCATCCGGATCGACCGAATACGAGCGACAGTGAAATCCCCGCGAAACTTATCTGAGCGACGACACGCCACCACAACCTAAATTTTAATCTCGTCGTGGCCGGTAATCTCGTCCGCAAACGAATTGTGTGACAAACACGGCAATAATATTATATAATGACGACGATAATATTATTATTATCAATTTCCGTCGTCTTGCGGCTATTGTATAGGGTGCGTTTTCGATATATGCAATATGCATATGGGTAATGGTTAGGCACACCAATACGCCACTGCTTCTGCCGAATCGGTCGTCCGTGTGGCCTCGAAACCGGTTAGCAGCAATAAAAACGTTTCTCGATTAAACAAATGCATAACCTCTGCAGGTTGATTAGCGTGGGCTCGTTTGCATAATATTGTTTTTCGGATAGGTTCGAATCACCATAATATATTGGTGGAGGTAGGTAAACAAAAACCCGATCAGCTGATCGAGTGTCATTTCTTTATTGTTCCAAGACGTGACCCTGTTTCGTGTGTAGTGGCGTGAAAAAGTCTCGTGGCTTACAGGCAGGCGATAACTGCAGCTGCCGCCGGTGGAGAGGCGAAACAGTTTTTTTTTCGTAGAAAATTCGATATCTTTGTACATTTTTCTATACGTTTGAACACGATATACCGTCAGTGCTTGTGTGCGAGTTTATTTGGACGACTCTATGCCGAACCGGTTTGGAGATATGTATTATTTTAATATTAACACCGGCCCGATGCGACGATCCGGTGAACCCTTTCGACTTCAGTCAGTCCTCTCTCTATATATGTGACTAGTTTGCTTCTCGGAAACGGACATTCGAAATAAAATACAATATATATATACAATTTAACATTGCCATTATTATTATTATTATTAATATGCACAATGCACATTATCATCATCATCATTATAACGTTGTGTTATAGAAGTATAAGACAATATGAGTCTTCGTGATGGCCGATTTAATAATAATACACTCGCGAAATAAATATGATACGCACGCAGCGTCGTTTTCCAAAACTCGTTTTTGAACAGTAATTACACACACACACACAATGATAATATTATACTGATATTTTATATAGGTACGCGAAATCCATATTACGACCGCGGTGTGTTGCCAAAGACTTTTTCTTCGTATATATAAAAATAAAAAAACTATAATGGTATTATAACACGGTCACTGGCGTCGAAACGAAACCCTATCGAAACCTTACCGTCTTTCGCATATAATATTATAATGTGACATATATTAATGTTTAATACAAAAAATAAAACACGCGTGATGTTTGTACCTATCTATATGATATATTATCGTGTCGTTTTGATTTTTTCATATATTATTTAATCGTGTTCTTAATGATAAAATACCGCGCACTACACAGCAGTCTTCTGTACCGGAAGCAGCAGTTCCGCGTATATATATTATATTATTTAAACTCGTATAAGAATGATAATATTGCACCCCACCTATCATCGTAATAATAATAATATTGTTATATCGTAATATATCGTGTGATATGTATTGTGGCGTATCGCGTGACGAATACATCGACGATAATTAAAAACTCGTATTTAACATCGATGATGTATAAATATTAAAATAATACTCGCATTATTGTACATAATAATATGATGTACGTGGGGACCGGTGCCAGACTAGAGAGCACTATACGATGTACACCGTCATAACTAGCGTGTATAACGGTTGATTTATGTCTGGCGATTATGTGTACACGAGACGAGACTTTTAGACGATGATTTCCCGGCGTGCCGCCCACACCGATATTATAATATTATCATATGATTACGCGTGTACTCACCCCGTCTGTGTGTGTGTGTGCGTGGAAATTTGTATATTTTATGCGATTATAACATTCTTCGGTTTTCGCGATATCCTCGATCACGCGACCGATTTCGTCTGGATCGCCTCTGATGTCCCGTGATGTATATTCGCGTGTTCCCGCCGCGGCCGACGACGGTCCACTCGGCGGGAGACCGTCCGTGGCTGCTGCATTAGAGCATAATAATAATAATAATCATATTTTAATATTATAATGATAATATTATTACGTTGACGCTTTCTTCGGGGTTTCTATATCATATATACGTTGTAATATTAAATACGACGACGACGACGATCATTATATTATAAAATAATGATATCGAACGCGCGCACGGGCGACGACAATAATAATAATATTATAATATACGCGCACGGCAGTCGTTTCCGACGAGTGCTGCAGATGGAAAATTAGTCACTTCCGTTTTTTTATTATTGTCATTTTCGTTTTTTTTTTTTACACCGCAGTGCCCTCGACATTCGCCATCGCCGCTGCCGTCGTCGTTATTACGTTTTACGATTATTGTTATTACTATTATATTTGTATTATCATTACTATATTATGTAACGCATTTAAAATGTCTTTTACGCGCGATATCGCCTTGGTGCAAAACGCATTAAAAAAAAATGCTGCCCCTCGAGCGCGTGTTCTATGTATATATATATAAGTATTATATTTATTGACGATAGTAAAGCCCCCGAAATATGCAGATGTATATATACTCATTCACCGCTGCTGCTGAGACGTTAAAAGCTTTCGCTCATTAAGACACACGGAAAGGACTTTTTCGGTTATTCGAGTCCCCCGGCACCACACTGTATATTACTACTCTTAATGTCTTAATCGCACCGTCCGCCACCGATGAATTTCCGAAATGTTTTATTTATGTGCGTACAAATAAATATATATATTTATGTGTACACTTATCGTGGCGCAGGGACTTAATGGAAAGCGGTCGTGGAATAAAACGTCATCGTTATAATATTTATACTTGTATATATCGTGTTTAATAGGGTTATGAATATTTTGTTTTAATTTTTTGTTTGGTTTTTGCAGAGCCAACGACGAACGAGTGGGCGACATGAATCGGGCGCTAAACTTTGATCAGAAAGCAAGAGATTTGACATCGCAAAACGGTACGTCCACACAATATTATGTAATAAAAATATCATAATTAATATGGTACGGATATAATGACATTATACACGAGTGCCACCGTCAGCCTCTCAAACAGACACGATAACGTGAATTCTTAATTATTTGCTGTAGGTTCGTCCGAAGGGCACAGCCCCGTTTTGAACCTGTCCAAAACGGGAGGCGATCATTCGGGACCGGCCAGCGATCATTCGGCTGGCGGCAACACAAACGTCGACGACGAAGACGACCTGGACGAGGACGACGACAACATTTCCGACGGCGAAGAAGACGACATCAAGGATCACGGTATAAATCGTTATTATTATTATTATATATTAGTATAAAAAATATAGTTTTTTTTTTAAGTTCCGATCCCTCTATACTTTTACTATATTATGAGATGTAAGATATTAGATGTGTGTATAGTGTATACCAAATATAATTGTTCAGACAGAAAAAAAATAACGAATTATACACAAACCATTGGAAACAATAATATCAATACGTAGAACGTTCTACTCGAGTGCATCTTTGACACAATATATTATTACCATCATGTCGGTATAATAAAGTGAAAAGTGGATTGCAGGGGAGCCGAGTGTGTATTGTGGTCATAGTAGTGGTTTAGTGCGGCGCGGGTGTAATTCGAGATGGGAATACCTTTTTATAGGATATTATATTATCACGTACGTTTGAGTTCAATTAAAATTATTAGTTTTGTGTGTATCGTGTTATTTGTATGTTTTGTATATACGACCGCATTATCGATTATATACTGTGGCGATATAAAATAATAAATATACGTCGTGTCGTCGTACATTACAATAAGGGTCGATTTTAAATCATCAACAGAATTTATAATGGCGTCCGGCGTGGATGCATCAACGCATCAAACGTTGACTAAACGTATCAACATTGCAAAATATTATATTAACATCCGTGGTCGTAATTATTTTTCATAAAGTATATAATTTTCAAAAATGTAGATTTAAACAATTGAATTAATCTAATAATACGAGAAATTTCACCAACAGTATAAAATTATAACATATTTTATTTTTTTTGTTTTTTTGACGTGTTCAGACCTCAGCGACAATCCGGACGTGGGAGGCAATAGCAGCGCACACGGTAGCGTCACGCCCCCGCCACAGGCGCTGAACTTCGGTTCCGCCGGATCCGGGGACATGGGTTTGCCATACATGACCACCGAGTCTCTGCTCCGGAAGATACAAGCCCTGCTTAAGGCCGCCGCAGATAAGATCCGAGACGACGACCGCGCTTTGAACTTCGAAAAAGGTGAGGACCCCGTGACATTGTATTATATAAATTAATTAAAATATATAAAATGCGTTTTGGCCGAGAAATGCGTGAGGCATATGATGGCAACGTATAGAAAATAATCAACAGGTGAAGCTAAATATATGACGTTCGTTCTAATTTTTCGAGAGAACGTCTCTTGTAGTCCTGTTATTGGGGGTTTCGTGTTTAATTATTTTATGCAGATATTATTGTATAGGATGGGCAATACCAAACGTTTCTAACGGTTTACATGTGGATATATGCTGATAAAATTGGACCACTACTTTCATGATTTCCATCGCGTACCACCTGGATTTGCAAAAAATCGAAACTAACCTATCCTAAACGAATGAGAGTTACTATTCTGCATAAATTATAATCGTTCTTCTATCAAACCCTAACTGGTTATTTTTTCAAAAACTTCATCTCATTGTATTGGTTGAATCCGTATATTGACTCATAGCACTTTTTTTCCATGAATAGGTAGTGCGGTCATTTAATTACGTAACAGAATGCCTACCATACGTGACGGAGTTTGATTTCTACAGTCGCAGTCGATTAAAATGACATTTAGAATTATTTCACTTCTAGCCCATCGAGTTTTGATCAGTATATTGGTCGATTAGTATTCATACTAATTTTTTTTTATCGCGATTTAGACAGACATTTCCTATTAAACTCGGCGTTCATAATATAAAACTGTTTGTGATATTTCATAAACATCATAAAACGAGATGGAATTCTACCGACGATTCCGTGAGACCCATAACCGGTTGATTAACATAAATACTATACCTATATAATATATATACCTACATGCTGTATCAATACTCGTATATTTCTCGATCAGTAGTCAAAATAGGATATTTAAGACGATAGTAAATGCGTTTAATGGCTTAAAAAATAGAGTTAGTGACGGGTCAGAAACCGCGTACACTATACTGCAGTTCAGAGGTCGGGTGGCAATAGAGCAAGTCCTTGTGCTGGACAACTACACGGTAAACGACAAAACAAATACACACACACACACAAATACGGACACAACAAACCGAACGAACGTCGGGACAGGTTTTGTAGTAGTGCGGCAGGGGCCCAGTGACTTTAACGTCGTTCACGATAAATCCTGCGCGGCCGCCCCGTTGTAATTATAAAATCGACGAACGAGAGCAATAATCATTGCCGCCGCCGTTAAATGATACAACCGTGAATTCCGCATGACGGTTGACACGATCGTGTAAAATCAACCGGGTCCGCGTTTTAATTACGCCCAGTCGGGAAAAAAAAAATCAAAACTCGCCCGCCGTCGCAATAGTAATAACGCGATAAATTAATCGTCGCGGATTACTGTTATTTCAGCTCCGCCTAAACACCGCCACACGGCGGAGAGACAGAGACAGAGACAGAGATAAAGACACGAAATAATAATAAAAAAAACAATTTCACCGCGCGCGCGTATAAATTATTATTGTACGTCGGTGTGTGTGTGTATATATGTTTGGACCTCACTCCGTGTGGTGTGGCATACACTTGTATAATTGGCCACTCGTACCACTTATTCCCATCACGAACTGACCTTTAAGAGTCGTGTTCCGCCGGCTCTCATGGGACGCAATGTTTTTTCGCCCCCCCTGCCCTCCCCGCCACCACCCGCCGTCCTTATTATATTGACGGAACACGGCGTTCCCCTCCGCCGCCGCCGCCGCCCCGGTGGTACCTATACGCCTGGCCCGGGTGTAATGGATCATTCGTACAAATTATCGTTTTGAAAAACGACCGTTTTCATTAAATTACATATGAAATTATACCGAAACGGACAGACGTAAAAAGACACCTCATCACCACCACCACCTGCGTGTGTTTCCGAGTGTGTATGTGTGTGATTTTCGTGTGTATATGTGTGTATTCATGTTTTTTTTTCGTTTTGTTTCGTCTGTTTATAGTAAATATAATTCCGTGCGCGTTTAAATAACAACAATTCCCGCGCGGGCTTCAATCAATTCCGAAACGTATACTTAACACACACACAAACGCACACGGACAGACACATTATAGCGCAGTCCCATTTCATTTTGTCGGGGAACGCCCACCGTTTTTGGTCGAAAATACTGGGCCAGCAGAGGAGAGAATGCGCGTCTATCGTCTTCAAGAAATGCCATTTAATTCGGTCGACGGCGACGGCGGCGGCGGCCGTATTATATTGTGATTGCTGTGGCGCGCGCACGGAACCCGAGGCACGAAAATACGATTTATAATATATAATATGATGTGTAATAACCGAACGACCAAGAAGGAACGACCAGAAAAAAAAAACCGAACGATTACTCCGTAAACAAATGTGCGCTCCGAGGCCCGCCGAGTCGAAATTAGGGCTTATTATCGTGCATGAAACACGTGCGTTTCGTATACTCACAGGTAAACGCGATCGTATTAGGCGCCCGTATAGAACCCAAACACGTAGTCCATATATCACACACACGTCGAAATTACATTAATATATATTATATTATCGACGTGTGTCTGCGGTGGTGTGTGTGTGTATAATTTCACCGGTCGACGATCCGCCGCGGGAGTTTGCGTGTCGCGAGCTCGCCGGTTAGTTTCGGGGCAAAAACTGGAGGGCCCGAGCTCGGGTGTGTGTGTATATTATACTTACGTGATCGAATACGTCAATGTGGATACTGCACGTCGAGTAAACGTATAATATTATTATGATGTCGAAGCGATGATGTATAAAGTCTCTAATAACAGTTAAAAAATATTATAATATAGTCGAAAATCCCGTCGTCCACGCTCTCGATTCTTAGAAATATGTATACCTTACAATCAACATATTATATTATAATATACAGCTGTAGGTAATGTAGGTATATCGATATAATATTATATAGGCGCATCGTGTTATTAAAGCGAAGTTGTACATATCCCTTTTTCAAGCAAATACGATAATACCTCGTCTCACCCTGGCCCGGCCAGACCCATTACAATGCAGCGTCGGTAAACGTTCTCGGGACACAAAATTTCCGTGGTATTAAAATATTATACTTTTTTGAATACCTACTTGGAAATATTGTACGAACGTCTTTATTCTATTCGTATGTCCGGCGCCACACTTACCGGTCATTGTACTCACCCTCGATTTAAGTATTTAACTTGTAGTACATTTTCCATTATAAAAATAGGTCTCAGCTGCTTTTAAACACATTTTAATACTATAATATAGACTAGGTATAATTTTCACAGATGATCTTTCAAAATAGGGAAATTATTATTACGACGCTCAGAAAAACACCGTTGGGAAATTGTCTGTATCTAAAACAATAATTATATTGTAATATTGTGTTCCACAGTTATACACGGGAACAGTTGGTAACAAAATCATTTTTTCCGCATTAAATAATTAAATGTCTCCTCCTCGGCGGATAGAATATTGAAAAAACGTGAAACCGACTCGAAGTCACTATTAATATTCCGAAAAAAATATGTCGTCCCGTCCAAGAGAGCAGATAAATCTACGGTACCTGCACCATGGTGCTATGCATAAATACCTATGCCTATAATGACACACACAGCACGTGCTCGGCCGACCGGCGGACTAGGTCTCCTTCTCGATCGCGTTATATCGACGCGTGTTCGGTTTTTTTTAAAATTTTTTTTTTTATATAAATAATACAATGTAATATATTATTATTGTACGTACACTGTGCTGTTGCGGCAGCAAAAATACGACAACGATATTCACTTATACGCCGCACACGTACAGACGTCTACGCACGCACACGCAAGCACACGTTTATTACATCTGAGCTGCGTATCGGTGTGTAATGACTTTGCCGACACGGTTTTCGCGCTCGATAAAATAATAATAATAATAAATATCCCGCAGTCGGCCTCGAGCGCCTCACACGAAGGCGCGAACACCGCGAGATAGGTACATACGGTATACCATAATATATAATATATTATGTTATGTGTACACAGTTTAAGTACATACGATATATTACTATCATATGTATAAGGTACCTCATCGTACGCCCGTGCTCCGGACTACCTGTAACAGATGTACATTGCATTATTGGAGAACTGCAGTCGATCGTCGTTATCGCTCCGAACCGGGCGACGACACTGCAGGCGGCTGCAACTGCAACAGTAATACATTATTGTCTTACAAGACTGTAATGCGTATTATGTGCAGTGTGCGATATCCTCGGGTTTATTTATTTTACTTTTGTCCTCGTGATATATGGCGTTATATAGTACGTCCTACCGATATCGGTGTACGCGATGCAATTTTTGATGCGTGTTCTTCTGCTGCACCGGATAGTGTTGTCGCGTATAGCCGCGTAGGTCCTTCCGGTGCGAAGCGCGTTTCGTTTCTTCCTTTGTTATTCTCAGCTGCAACCCGTAATGCAATCACGATTTAATAGTATACCTACTTGCAACACCGTTCAACGGGCAGTAATTATAAAATATTATAATATATTTTTTTGATTGCTCTAAAATAAACTTTGGCTGCATAGACCATGCACAGTTGCGTTGTAGCCGGCCATGTAAATTTGTTTTTCATTAACTAGTTCTTAAAATTACATTGTATGTAGTTTGGTTTTTCATAAGAATAATATAATAAGTTTAGGTTAATTAATTCTTGGAGCACTCCTTTGCCACATTCAGTCAGTAGGTCTTTGAACGATAGTGTATTAGTGTATTACCTACTTGATTATTCCGTAGGTTTCAAATTTATATCATGTATTCGATTCTAGTGTGTCCGATTCTCAGAATAGAATAGATCATATTATAATGTGATGGAAAATCGTCCGTATTTCCATCATGGTATGATTTCGGTTGAGATCTAAGTTTACAAAATCGTACCATAAAGTCGACATATATATATATACTCTTCAAATCGTAAAACGATAACTAAATGTTTAAAATATTATATACATTTTTTCCATTCTGCAGTTTCATACATAATAATAATTAGTGATGTCTGCAGATGAATGTACCTCGATGAGTTTTTTCGTATATCAAGCCATTCGAAGTCCCATTACTTGGGATCATATAAATTTCTCGAATTTCGGAACCGCTGTTAATGGTGTTTGCAATTGTAATATTTAAATAATAATTACAGACGATAATTGGTAATCAACTTTATACGATTTGAAATATCCGTCAAATCCTATAACTATTGCGTGATGTATTGCAGTATTATTATTGACTTCGAAATGTCTTCGATATTAATAAATTCAGTCGTGTGTTAATTCCACTTATATTTTATTATATACGCTTTCGCGCTCAGCAGCGATTTCTCGTCAGCCAGACACCTGTTCCGTGTGACGGGATACATACACGAGTGAGAACGTCTGTAATCCGATTTGCCACGATTAGCGTCCAATAATTATTAACGACTTAAACGAGAATAATAATAATATTATATAGCAGAACCTGTATGAATGTAAATATGATTAAAATAATGGCACAGTGTGCATGATTTCGGCCAAAAACGAATCGTTTCAAAGTCAATTATTCATCGGGACCTTTATTATAATATGGTTTGGGCAAAATTTACACAATATTACATCGATACCTATAAAAATAATGCCACCGACGGCCGTGGGGGATTACTTATTATTTTCGAGTGTTATCCCGCCTCAGCGGCAGATTTATGAGTCGGCGTTTGTCATCGTCGTTGTAGTCGTCGCGTTTTTTCATTACCCATATTGTAGAATATATCATATTATTATTATTATTATTCCTATCGGGGCCGTTCGAAAATGTAATACCTACTAAAACAACAGACTATAGCGCTCGTGTTTAATATCGCACTGCGAGTTATGGACCGATAAAAAGACGCGCGCCACGACACTTTTCGTCTGTAAATATTATCATATTAAATTGTCCGGCCGAGGAAATTAATGGGCCGAGAAACCACGGGGCGGTGGCGGCGGCGGCGGCGATGACTTAACCAAATTATCGAAACCGATAACATTGTCTTCCGTAACGTCATGATATCGTTCTAAATAAAATAAAATGAAATAATATTACAGTGCCGCGTGAAACGGGGTGGTAGGGAAATGTCTACAATTTCCCCAGGTGTTGTTTTGCGTTGCACACTCCGCGGCGATGCGACCCGGTGGGCGGAAACTCTGGCAAAAGTTATTCAAATCGCTAGCGGGCGCGTCTTGTATTTTCCACGAGTGTTATGTTAGTATAAATATGCACTGTGTATATTTATATATATATACACTCAAAATATATATTATAAATTATACATGTAGGTATATTGTATATATACACATAAATACATATATTGATATATATATATATACGATCTCGAGTGGCCGTACACGAGTAAACAGCCTTGGGTGACTAACCGACACGACCCTTCAAATCGGGATTAACACAACGTTTCCCCGCAAGCCTTCGATATAGCTCCTCTCGCGCGTACTGCACACTGCACAGACACATATAGGCTATATACACATACATAGTATACATAAATATAATATGTTATGTGGGATATACTGTGCTTGCATATATATTATATGTGTGTGTGTGTGTGTGTTACATTTGGTATATATTGTTATTGTTATTATTATAGTGGTGGTACGTTATAGTGCGGTGCTGGAGTCTTATATAGGTAACCACTCGTATACCGTTCAATATGTACGCAACGCCGAAAAAATTGTTGTCAGCGCGTTTACTAAATATATATCAATGATAATTATTGTAATACTTCAATAATTCGCTTATCATGTACTCAATACGTTTTTGTTTTATTGCAGCCGAGTTGAAAATGGACGTGCTCCGTGAAAGGGAAGTCAAAGGAAGTCTAGAACGACAGTTGGTCGACGCCCAAAAACTGCGGGGTAAGTGATGTTTTCGTACTTGAAATCTCATTTTCCGTTTATTATTTACACAAGTACTCTGCACCCCTTCTTTTTGCTTTTTGTTTTTTGAATAACTCGTAAAATATTTCCACTAAAATACACCCTGCAGGGTGTGCGGTTACTTACCTTCGTGAGTCCCAATACCGACAAATTCGTTGAGGGTGGTCAAAAACTCTGAATTGTACTGATGAACAATAAATTTGAGTATCCTGTTTAATATTAGGTTACACGTGCTGCTAATTTACAGATCCACACATACATACACATTTAATATATACGTATACTCGATGAACCTTGACTGGCCGTCTGTTTGACACAAAAACTTCACTTCCACACACGCACGGTGTACGGTATATATGTACATATATCTATAAATATATAATATATTATATTTATATTGTATATTTGTATACGCGTGCAAACATAAAAAATAAAGTATATTATATATACCCGAGAAATATAATATCTTACAATCCAAAGGTGTATATATAGTGTTACAACAACAATGAGGGGGTGTCTCTCATTCGCGCATTAGCATAAAATAAAACGAACGGGCCACCAGGATTTCCCCATACGGATTTCCGAATCGGTTGACAGTGTGTAAACGTATACGTATCGTCTCCATTTGTGCGGACTACCCAAAAGCTTCTTCTATCACTATTTATATATATATATATAATATTGACCAGTCCATTTAGTCTATTGGACGTATCGAGTTTCATTCTGGTCAAGAACTAAACATAACATTGAGAAAAAAAAATCATTTCGATTTTTCTTTTACCTGAATTGCGCGCGTAACCCGATTCTTCGCAATATACGTAGGGGAGTTGGACAGAAGCTTTTAGGCTTATTATATATCTATCCATATATATTTATTGACAATAGATCTCGGGTTAGTCCCTTATAAGTGTGGTGCATTGGACTCTTATGAGGATATTTGGCTGCCCTTTACCCACCTCATCGGAAGTCTCTGTGTGTTTTGTATTTTATTCTCTCTCTCTCATACCCTCTCTCTCACACTCTGTCTCATTCTCTTCAAACGTAATCTACACCGACTGATTAGGTTTAATTGGCCGATCGATAGTTTCCTGTTCATTCGTCTTGAATTCCGAATCCACCTCTGCACTCTCTCATCCTTTCACGCGCGTTATTATACACGACTATCCGGCGAGCAGCACTAAAGCAAGTGTAGAGGGGAAGAGGGAAATATCGAAGAACGGCGGTAAGAGGTGAAGTGGGTTTCATTAAGGAAACGTCTGAGTGGGCGACGACGACGCCGGCGACGATCATCTCTCAGAATTAAACGCTAATTAGATCCCAAAGGGGCGGCGGGAGCGCATAAATCACTCGCTGCTGATTGGACAATTGACAGAGACATAGTTGATTGGCAACACTGGCCGTGTGCTAACGATGCCAAACATTAATCCGTCTCTTATTCGCTGCAGTCCCTTGAATATTATTATTAGAAAACGCTGTGTCTGGCAGTTAGGACAACATAAACAACCTCATATAGCAATTAATCGATATATTTAACGTTATAATAATTTGTGTGAGAAAAACTTCAATACAATATTCTGAGTTTTACATAATAACTTTAAATTTAATTATAAAAAAATGGTAAAAATAATAAGGCTATATATACCTACGTATATACAACAAAATTGATTTTAAATAAACAATATTTTTTATAACATTGTTACCTAGTTAATTCTTTGACGAATAGGCAATTGTAGTGGTGATAAAATAAGATATACATTTTATATACGATATTGTAGGTTATAACATGGCTTATACGTAAAATATTGTAATATTGTAAAAAATTACAGCTACACAAATTTTAATAAATATTTTTAAACTAAATTATTTTATCCCTTGCCATTCCACAGTGGCACTCTATAAATCAATACACAGAAACCGTTTCTACGTAATTCCTCAAACGATTTTGATACCGTTGATGCAGTTTATTGTCCGGAAGTATTAAGTTTTAATTAGATAATTGATATTTACTTTTTTGAATAAAAAGAAATTACACCCTCGTAAATGTTCTTGTGAATCAGTGGTGAGTTGGTGGCCTTTTGTTTTACTATACCAAAGGGGCGCGCTCTTCAATGTCTTGTACACGTACACTGACAATAGAAACCATACCGTATAATAACCATTGTCAAGAAAAGCCAATGATCACTATAATATACCGTTTGTGTATACGTACGCTGTATAATATAATATATATATGTCTATTTAAATACCCTTTTCTTACGTTGTATTATTACTATTAGCCGCCACTGACATTTCCAAAGGTCGTTTCCGCCTCAGGCGGACCATAAAGTTTTTCCTTTTCCGTTTCTGCAGCATAAATACCAAGGAGCCGCCGTCCCGTATATTCGTAATAATTAAGTCTGGGCCGCGTGCGTGGGTGGCGTGGCGGACGTCGAAGGAGGATATTGATATTTTCGTGTCGGTCGTATTACGTCAAATATGAAACAATTATTATTACATGGAAACTCCGGCAAGGGAGTTCGATGCGTGGGGGTGTTGGGTGGTGGCTAAAAGTGGAGATCAAAAAGAGATATGGAAACGTTTTAATAATAACAACGGGCCTCGCGTTTAACCCTTTTCTTCCGCGCTTCCCCGTAATTAACCGAAGACAATGGAAGGGAGATTGGAAGCCATCCGTCGTTCATATTGCCGTGTGCGTAGCCATCAATATTTTTTCTTTCGGGTGTGGAATGCAATAAATGTAATTAAAGTACCCCTCCCCCGCCTCTACGAATCCCCGGCGGTTTGGTCCGAAACACCGAAATTTCTTTTATTAAAAACCGTTTCCACTGTGTTTTTATATATAATAATATAATATTCTGTTGACGATGGCGAACGTATTATGCCGGCATATTTTTTTTCCCGTTCCGTCCGAGGGTAAAATTCCTGACCCTCTTTTCCGTAGCTAGTAATTATTATTGTACTCAGTAATTTCCAGATATTAATGCGGCGATAAAACGCATCATATTAATTCATAGGCAATCATTAAACTGGTAGGTCATACACCAGAGTATACCTATATAAGTATAGCTGTTGGCTTTTATTTCAATGTTTAAATTAAAAAACTAAAAAATAAAAAATACATTTACCGATATCGACGGAGCGTTACGGCTTACAAAAAACACCGAAAAACCTGAGGCTTTAGATCCAGATATTCGTGTATCCTTGCACGAGCACTATAATATAATATAACTAGTCGTCGATTTGTTTATGGTTGCATACAAGTAATCCAATCTGCTTGGACGTTTCGAGTCTGTTCGGACATATTATATACGACTTTTATAATAATATATATTTATATTATATTACTGGCTACCGTCGTAGTCGATTATCGAATAATACCCACCTCATATTTGTTGTACATTGTTGTTGGTATTAGAAAAACTCGTCGTCGTCGTTATTGTTATTACTGTTATATTATATACTCAGTAATAGTATACCGCAGACAGTAAGTCTGGACTGGAAAAGCATTAGATTAATATTTGTAGTACTGATCCCTCTGAATCAATCGTATACTATGACAATGGACTACGTTTTTGTATCGGATTGCTACTGTTGTTATGCGATCATTACAGTCTCCTTAAATTTCTTCTTTTATAATAATATAATAATATCTATGATGATATAGTTGGGTATTATATCGTAATTCTTAATACTCACTGTGTATTTAGTAATTTTCTAGATCGGTGACGCCACCGTTGCTATTTTTAATGGCAAATTTACGTTTTTATTATAAATATCGATTTTATGCATTCTGGTAGCATTCGCAATTAACACACCAGAGTCGATTACTGATGGGCTGGAGGGAGGACTTCTCGAGGGGGTGTCTAGTTACGTTTCACAGGCGTTTCCGGTCGGCCGCGTGACATCTAAAAATCCGCTTCCGCTCGCAAGTCACGTACACATCGAACGTCGCGTACTTTTAATGCCACCGTCGACTCGATCGAGTCTCGGCGGCAGGGTAAGAAAGTTTATATTACCGTTCGACGAAGACTTAACTGCCGCAAATATTCAAACATGAATCATCATTACCGGGCTCGGCACGCACAGCGCATCATAACCAAACGCCTCGCGTATTATACCACGATGGTAATAATAATAATAATAATAATATAACCCTCGTACTTCAAACGCAGGTCGGGGTGGGTAAAATCGCGCCGGAGTGAACAGGATAGGGACGTAACTTCCCCGCCGTCCGTGTTTTCGCCGCACACAAGTTGTAAATCTCGGAAGTATATCCGTCACAAGTCCGTCACGTCGGGTAGTATAACACACACAAACACACCTACACACACACACACACACACACACACACACACACACACACACACACTAATGCACAAGGCATCGCGGGTAGGCAATCAACCACACACGCCGGCACTACTGGATGCGTCTGTACGGGCACCTTACCAGAGTTCGGAACGACATTGTGCTTATAACCTGTCCAGTTTATATTGGCACTGGGCACCGGTTTAAAAACTAAAGTGTTCAGAAAACTATATTACATACCCTTTAAAAACAAACCCTAATCTCGAGGACTAGAATAGACGACTGGATAGTTTTTAGACGACTGTTTTAAAAATCGTAACAGTGACCGCGAGTGTCAAGATAAACTACTGGCGGCTTATAACTATATTACAATAATATTATATTATTACAGTTGTTGTTGGGTTACGCTTCGGCGAGTGCGCGTCCCACGACCTATAACTATTTGCGTTATTGTGTGGGTGTGTGTGTTTGTGCACGCGCGCGCTCACTTAACTCGAAACTCAGTTGGTGGTGGTGGTCAGCAATCCGACTCTTCTCGCTTTGATGTCCGGTCTCGTTCGTTCCACGGGGGGTTTCAGCAGACCCGAAAACAAGAGATGTCAAACGGCGCTGTGGTCTACAGACCCGTCGCCAGCGCGACCCTTGGCCGTAGCAAGCTCGTTTTACGTTTCAAA